CTGTAGAGTCTTCTTTTTGTTTTGCTTCTTTAAAATCGCTTTTGGTAATGTGATGTCTTCCCGAAACATGCTGTTAAGTCCTTATGTAAGGAGCATCAGTCCAGAAATGCTGGGTATTGGGTTCCCAAGTGAAAGAGAAGTCTATTGAAACTTGCCGATGGTTATTTTTAAGCTTTTTTGCTTCCCTGGGATGACGGTTGAAAATCCCCGATATAACTAGGTGATACTATTTTCAGTATTATTTGTTATTTTGGGTTCTTACGTAGTCTCAGCTGGGCTTGAGCCCTGTATTGACAACTGCTTACAGGGGATGTTGTGTCATGTGTTGGGTCCTGGAGCTGGGAATCCCGAGAAAACAGAGAATCCAAAATACAGCTTTTTGCAGGCCTGTAATGTGCTGATTCTGTGTTTTGTTTGATATTTAAAAGTAGAAAAAAACCCGGAAGGAGATAGGTGATATGGCTGGCGGGGGAGGGGGGGGGGGAAATAAAAAACCCGGAAGGAGATAGGTGATATGGCTGCCGGGGTAGGGAGCTGAGAATATGGGTCAGAAGGAAAGGCCCCCGGTAAGAAGTGTAGTGGTGACGGCATTGTAGAAGTTGAACATCAGAAGGGAAGAGTAAAGGTTAACTTGCACCAAGAGAGCAGGAGAGAGGAGAGCGAAGGGGGAAAGTAATAAAACAGAGCCGGGATTTTGGGCTGCCTCCCCTTTGGTAAAGGGTGCCTAGGGCAGCTGCTGCTCCTGTGGGAAGCCGAGGAGCTCCTGATTTGCCTCCTTTGCTTGGCCTTGTGTAGGTACCCACAGCTCAGGGAGGGGGAGGAGGGATTCTTCCTCCCTGCTTTCCATTTTCATGATTCTTTGTTCCATGCTTCTGGAATTGCTGTAAGGGCTTCCCACTGAAGCCTTATCCCCTTCTAAAAAAATTATATTGCAGTGCCTCACCAACTTAATTTTAGGAGTCCTTCACTGTACGATCCAGATGCTGTAGGAAGTGCCTTAAAATTAATCCCACATAAATTAGAATTGTGGATATGTTATTTGATGATCTCTCTTAAATATAGGATTAGCAGATAAAGGCACTTCTCAGGATTGCATTTATACGATCGTGTTTCTGGAAGGGTTTGGGGGAAGAAGTGGGTAATCCATTCTCCTGCAAAAGAGCTTTGGGAACGGTTTATGCCAAGAGAATTATCTTGTGCTTTGAGACGAGTGGTTTCCAAAATAAAAAATAAAATTCAACCACTTAAAGATGATGTTAAAGACCTTCCATGTGGTTCAGACAACAGAGTGCCTTTGCATCTATTTTTTCCTCATCTAAATTTAAGGATTACAGGCTTGGGTTTTTGCTGTTGTTAGGATAAACAGAAATATTTACTTTGGATCCTTTGCTATTTAAATAGTGGGGAAGTTGCCCTTTTAGTTATCATTTGCAGGCTTTGAAAGACTAATCCAGATTTTTCCTGTAGCACAATGCTATTTAACACAGGATAAATACACAACTTGTCCTTTAGAGAAAAGCCTGTAGCTCTGCAGAGATGTGAAAGCTTTCAGGGATGATGTTGAACAGTTCCGAAGTATTCTGGGAGTACAGTTCTTCCAGAATGCTAATAGAGATCTGTGTGATTTTTAAGTTGTTTTACTGCAGATTCCTCAGTCTGATTCCTGTATCCCTTAAGTTCTACATGAGTACAGAGGTTGTACACAGCACAGAACGAAGTTCTACTACTGGAGCACAATTTTTCTTTAATCTTTTTCAGTAACTGTGCTTTGTCTCCAACACAACGTTCACCTTTCATATCTTTGCATCAAGTGTTTCCCTTCCTGCAGAACTACAGCCCCCAGGACTGTGAAATGGTTACTTGAGGCAGCAGCCTCTCCTCAGTGAGGACATGGTTTTTTGAGAGTGTTACTATAAATACTGGAGTCTGTAGAAAGGTGTGGAAGCAAATAGAATGGTTGGGGCTAGGGAAAAAAAAAAACCCTGTCAGTTCCACAAAGTTAACTGAACCCTGCAGCTGACTGGAAGTCAGCTCCCAGGTAGTGTCCTACTACAAAGATACTGACAAACTGGGGGAGCTAAAGGGAAAAACGAGGGGGAGGGATGGGTTTTAACACAAATTATTTTCAGAAGTAACTGGGTGTGGCTGGGTGAAGTGTGTGTTTGGAGGCCTGGAGGTGACATCTGCTGACTCGGGGGGGCATTGATAAGAACAGTACAGATGAGCAGCAGAATATACAGAAATGAGTCAAATCTTATCCAAGGAGGAACTACAGCATTTCCTGACAGAAGGAAAATGGGAGATTTGCAGTTCAGTGAGTGTGTTGCAGAGCAGACAAAGCCTTGGCTGGAAAGACAAACTGAGTGACATGAATGGAGTTGAACACTTACCTCCGCTTCTGAGATCTGAGTTCCCTCCTGTGGTGGTCTTGGGTTCCTGTGAGGGGAGGGTCTTGACTTTTCCATGCAAATGCTGAGAGAGAAATGCTTTACCTCCTGTTAGTGCCCCTTTAGAGGATCCAGTGGCTCCAACACTTCTGTTGACTCGCTCTAGTACTGTTCTTAGGGATGTGTCTTGCATGGGGAATGTCGGTGGTTTAGGATGACCTGTAGTACCTAAACCCAGGCCTGTTGCTGTAGCTGCAAGGAAGGTTTTGTTACCAGCCATATTTCCAAGCAACCTGCTTAGTGCAAAATGCATCTCATTTGACTCAAATGATCAGAATTATGTAAATAACAAGCTTGTTACAGGCATTTGAGCCTTTTCTGTGACTTGTGAGCGAGGACAGAGTACAAACTCGGCAGCAGTGTTAGCTTTCCCAGAGGTGTTTATGGTGACAGGCATGACAAAGCAGTGAAAACATCAAGCTTATTTTTAAAAAAGTGCTGCATGTAACAAATACTCAGCTTTGTGTGAAGAACCGAGCTGTGCTACAAGGCACATTTCAGAAAGTGACTGAGGCTTTTCCTCAGGCTGCTTCACAAGGTTACCAGGTTAATCATTTGTCAGGGACAGTGTTCTGGGATCAGCCAGGGCTACTGGCAAGGAACACTAAAAGCTAAGGTGCATTAACAGCTCTTTTAAAAGGCGTCTGCTTTTGTTGCTGATTAATGTTGACCCTCTCCCTTACTCGGTGCTCCAGGCTGGGGTGATGTTGGGGTGTGTTTTGATTTTGGGTTTTTGTTTTGTTTTGATAAAAGCAGCTGGAAACACTACTGTTGAATCAAATGCTGGTTCCTGGCAGAAGTTGTGGGGTTTTTTTCTTTCCATGATAAGATACCATTGCTTAAAATATTCTTTTAAACACTTGATTATGGAGGATTTGGAACAATCTAAAATACAATTGTCAGAAAAGACTGATGCTATACTCCAGAAAGAGGATTGCTTGTGATTTCATTTGTTTTAGTATGGAGATTGAAAGCAACTTGCAATCAAATAAAAGTTGTAGAGATTGAAATCTCTCCAAACTGTTTTGGATGAGAAAGCAGTTGCATAGGCTGGAAGCTGATTGAGAAGCCCAAAACAAAGACAGGGTATTTCCTGAAGGGGGTGGGGTGGGGGCTGGGGGTGTGGAATTGGAGGGAGTGGATGTGATAAGTGCCATTTAATCTGAGTTCTGTTACATCAGAGCCCATGCCTTACTGTAGTACTCGGTGATGAAATTCACAAGCCACACTACAGAAGTTTACTGCAAGGTCACAGATGCAATGCCAAGGTACCAGAGATGCTCGGGTAGGGTTTGTCGTGGGAAGGAGCAGACTTTCCAGTCATGGTCAAGCTGTGGCTGTGGTCAGCGTGAGGAAAGGTGAGCAAACAGGAATGACAGGGTCTGAGTGCTGACGAGCGAGACGCAGGTTCGCGTTGGCAGCGAGGCGACTGGTGGAGTTCTGGATTCTGGACAGAAGCTTTAGACTGCAGAAGGTCTTGTCTGTGGACATCTGTTTCAGGATGCCTCATCAGAAATGAAAGCAAACTGAAGGGAATTGGAAGACAAGTGCCCTCTCTCCAGTGAAGTACAACAGTTTCTCACTGTTTTCCCATTAAAGGGTTTAGCTAAACTGTTTTGGCAGCTGTTACCTGGTAGTGGTCCAGCACAGACATCTGTAGTAGAGTGCTTTGTTCAAGTGAATGAAGGGACTTAGTAAATTTTACTCATTTATTCCGTATTAACTTTGTCTATAAAGATGATGCTGTCTGGTAATTCTTTTCTGCTTTTGGAACTTGCTTACCCTTGGATTTCTATAGCAGGGCTGCAAGGCCGGGTGCTGTCACTGCTCTGGAACTGCAGATGAGCTTCACAGTAATTGTGCCTGAATGCCAGCGCTGGCTCCGTGTCCCAGCTGCAGTGCACAGAGGCATTAGGCACAGGGATTAAGTCATCCTCGTCTGCTCTCTGGAAAGGGCCCCACTGGTAATGCAGAGTTGCCAGTGACTAATCAGGATGCAATACATTAAATAAATGTAGCTCCAGAGCTAATAGGTGAAAATCTGTTGTCAGTGTCTGCTGAGAACTAAACCATTCCAATCTGTTTGTAGGTGTCTTTGTATCCAGTGTTGTTCTGGTCTTACAACAGCGAGCACTTTTCAAGTTCTATACGATTGCCTCTGCGTTTCTGCTGGCTGTGACTTCAGTGTTGCTGAATTACTACGCTGCTTTGCACATCAACCTCTACAGTGCCTACTACACCGCCACGTTCGGAATTCAGATCTTCCCTCACAAAGGACCTTCGCTATGGATGGCGCTTTCCATCCTTCAGCTTACCTTTGGAATTGGGTATGTTACCTTGTTAAACATGCAGTCCGTGTACTCTCAACTCATCATCCTGGATATACTGATTCCTGTCATCGGCTTGGTTGTTGAACTGCCCTTAAACGTCCGGCAGATACTGGTTTTTGTTTCAGGCCTGGTTCTGACACTGAATACCACAGCCATTCTAGTGAGGAAGATCAAATGGTTCTACTATTCGGTGCGGTACGTCTATCTGCTGGTGAGGCACATGTACCGCATTTACGGGTTGCAGCTGCTGATGGAAGACACGTGGAAGAGGATTCGGTTCCCAGCCGTACTGCGTGTCTTCTGGCTGACGAGACTCACCGCCCAGGCTGTGGTACTGACATACGTGGTAAAGATGGCCGAAACCAACACGGAAGAACAATTCTTCCTGATATCGTGGGATAACTGCTGGGAGCTGATCTGCAGTCTGATCATCAGCGGGTGCGACTCCACCTTAACCGTGTTGGGCATGAGCGCCGTCATTTCCTCCGTAGCGCATTACCTGGGGCTCGGCATCCTGGCCTTCATCGGGTCGACCGACGAGGACGACAAGAGGCTTGGGTTCGTGGCGCCCGTCCTGTTTTTCATCCTGGCTCTGCAGACTGGTTTGAGCGGGCTGAAGCCAGAAGAGCGCCTGGTTCGCCTGAGTCGGAACATGTGCCTTTTGCTGACCGCGGTCCTGCACTTCATCCACGGCATGACGGACCCCGTGCTGATGTCCCTGAGTGCCTCCCACGTGTCGTCCTTCCGCAGACACTTCCCCGTGCTGTTCGTTTCCGCTTGCCTCTTCGTCCTCCCCGTTCTGCTCAGCTACGTTCTCTGGCACCACTATGCACTAAACACGTGGCTCTTTGCGGTGACGGCCTTCTGTGTAGAGCTTTGCCTAAAAGTCATCGTTTCTATCACTGTTTATATCCTGTTTATGATTGACGGTTACTATAATGTGCTGTGGGAAAAGCTCGACGATTACGTCTATTACGTTCGTTCGACTGGCAATATTATTGAGTTTATATTTGGAGTGATTATGTTTGGCAACGGAGCTTACACCATGGTCTTTGAATCGGGAAGCAAGATCCGTGCTTGCATGATGTGTCTACACGCCTACTTCAACATCTACTTGCAAGCAAAGAATGGCTGGAAGACTTTTATAAACCGCCGGACTGCTGTGAAGAAAATAAACTCGCTTCCAGAGGTGAAGGGCAGCCGGTTACGCGACATAGACGACGTCTGTGCAATCTGCTACCACGAGTTCACCACCTCTGCTCGCATTACTCCTTGCAACCATTACTTCCATGCACTTTGTCTTCGGAAGTGGCTGTACATCCAGGACACCTGCCCTATGTGCCATCAGAAAGTGTATATTGAGGACAAAGAAAGTGCCAGTATGTCCAACAACAATGGGTTTGTGGCACCAAATGAAAATCCTGTACAAGCTGCAGAGGAAGCTGCTGATGCTGAAAATGAATTAAATGAAGATAACGATAGTTCTGATAGCAATGAGGAAGACGATGACTGTGTGGCACACGAGACTCTTAATGTTGACTCTAACTCTCTCGGTGATTAAGATGCCCTTTACTAAGTGTGAGGTATTTGTTTGAGATTGACTTCAACAGAATAAAAGGATCACTTTGTAGTTATTGTACTTAAGCACAACAGCAGTATCTCAGTGTTGAGTCTGTGAATGGTGGTTGTTTACTGTGGTGTGTGCTACTGTAAATATACTTCTAATTTTTGCTGGTCTCTTTCTTGACCACCTTAAAATTGTGTACATTATTGTACATGGAATAAAATGTTTTCACATGTTTTTAAGATAGTGGGAAAAACACTCTTTAATTGATGTAATGATAGTGCTGTGCCAAAGACTGTATACCAGTAATCCCTGGTTAATGAGTTCTGGATGCAAAAGACAAATACCGGTAAAAACAAACTATTCAGCAGGTCAAATCTGAAATGAAAGCCTGAACCAAAGGAGCTTTACTTACAGATTCAGTATTAGCAGAGCTTTATTGCTAAAAATGAGTTGTGTTTTTAAATAAAATAAAATAAAAAAATTTAGGTCGGTAGACTTAATGTTACAGCATTTGTGTACGTGGAACAACAGAGGAAACTGCCAAGCTGTGTGGTGAAGCACCAGAGCATGCCACTGGTGTTTTAAATGCTTCTGCATGAAGTGCTCCACCTGTGACCTCTGCAGCCTGGTATTTGCTGTGCAGGGCACACAGGTATCATTAACAAGAGTCGCTAGTTTGGGCTGTCCGTGACATGGATCCTGAGTCTTGATGAAGGGGAAAGGGCTGAGAAACTGCACAAATGCAGAATACCTTTTCAAAAGCAGCTTTAATCTTGTACCACCAAACCCCCAAAACAGGCTTCTGTTGAAACTTGCAGATGTGATAATTTTTGGTTTTTTTCAGTGTATTTACTGAAGTTATGCTGGACAAATGTAAGAACTACAACTACATATTTGGAAAGAAGACTTTAAGAGTGTTGTTATATAGGGTATTGGCCAACTCGAGTGGGTCATCTTCTTTTACTGCTGCCATTATTTCCAGTATTTGACTGAAAAAGAAAGCTCTATATTAGACTCAAACCTGAATATACTTCAGACTGCTGCATGTGTCCGTACAAGTCACAAAGATTAAGTTGGAATAAAAAACAATGCTGAGAGCAGCTGGGTAAGGTGCTCAGATATGCAAATAGCTTCAATTTAAGTCACTAACTGCCCTTCCCTTCACACTGAACACTGGTTGCTCACTGGTACAGATTAATCTTTGGTCTTTTGACTCTTGTTTGGAGGTAATTAAACAGCTTTCTGTTTCAAAGAAAGTCATTTTGTGAGCGTTTATATCAATGGTCTTGATTTTTCAGACTGAAATTCCTTAGCCTTTCACAGCTAAAGCTGCACTATGAATAAACTGGACTATGGCAAAGTTTAAATTCCAGCTACAGCCTTATCCTAGCATATAGCTTCCAAAGTAACTTACTCTGGCTCCCTGGAGTAACCTGTACAGTTAGTTGCAATAAATGTGAAGTGTGCATGTTTAATTTTAAAGGCCTATAGCCTTGTTACAATCTAGGAGAAGGAGGCAAAAGAAAAGGGATGAGCAATATTAAAACTAAGGAGCAGAAAACCAAGCCACAATCTTTTCTGTGTATTTTTTGTCACTTTGAAAAGATTTCAAACAATATTCTGTACAGCTTATAAGATACTTCACACTTTCATTTTTTTCTAGTAATAGGAAAAAAAACCCACAACCCAACTTCACCATGAAGAGTAAGAACCTCAAGCTTGGTGGTAGGCTTTGGTGGGTTTGGGTTTTGGATCTTGCCTCGTATGCAATAACAGCTTCTCTTTGAGGAAGACTGAGTAGAAAATGTTGCCCTTTACTAGACTGCCAAGGTTTTCCTAGGTGCAGCATTAGCCCGTTTTGTGACAGCTTTGTAGCTAAACAACTTCATGATACGAGGGGATGTGCCAGATGAGATGGGGTGAGATCAGGCCTACAGTAACAGGCCAGAAATAACAAATACTGAAGAATTTCACCCTTGAAGAGTCTTGGTAGGGCTTACATATATAGCCCCACTTGGATGCAGTAACACTGTATATATGAGATTGCTGAAGAAGGGGGAAAAAAAAAAAAACAGCCCACACCCACAAATCCACAAAAACAGCTTGTGGCTAAAACTGCCAAAACCAGAAAGAGCTTCCAAGGGGAGTAGTGCAGTTCAAAATATATAAAAAATGGAAATACTACAATCAAGATTGAAAAGTGTCCCATACCACCAAAAGAAGACCTCCTACCAGGCAAGCTACATTCAACAGTGTCTGTACCCTGAACATTAAATAGACTTCATGGCCTGGGGCTTACTGTTCCCTCACACCAGACACTGCTACCTGAGAAGTCACAAGATACCAGTTCTTAGTTACCATGCCTCATTTTTCCTAAAGGTTTGACAGTTTTTCAGGTTACTAACCTAGATTTAGTATGGGTTATACTTAATATTTTAAAGGGACAGTTATTTTGACATAAGACTGAACTAAATTAGATTTTTGCTTTCTAAAAGATAGCAAAAGCCAAAGACAGCATTTCTGTACCACCAGCACAGAGTCCCTGCATTTCCATTTCTGGGGTTTCTGAAACGCTTCTGTAAGCCACAGCTAAGGCAGCGAAGACACAGGGGAGTCGTTCACATGCAGCAGCTTGCCAAAAAAGCCATGTTCAGTAACAGCAGATGTCCTCCACTTGGGATCAGAAAACTGTTTTCACTTATCTCTTCCCCTACTCCAAAATCATGGCCTGACACTAGAAAGGCTTAAAATAGTGAAAGAGACGTTCTGGGTGGATACGTGTGCTTTGTGTTGAAAACAAAAATCAATTTCAAAGAGTATTATAAATTGGCATAACTGCATAAAACACATCTGAACACCAGGAGATGTCACCACATAAGCTTGAACTATACTTTTAGCATGACGGGTGGCCTCTCTCTAAGAGTTTCTTCAGGTCTCCCAAGAAAAGCTGAAGATTTCCCTTCAGTTCTCAAACTCTTGTTTAGACACCTTGCTGAATACACAGATTCTTTAGTACTGTCCTGAGCAACCTTTCAAAAGCTAGTTCCAAACAGGTAATGTACACAGGTTTTCACAGAAATATGTACAGACTTCACAGAAGAAAAAACCCAAACAATTCCCACTTGTGGTAAGTAAATGGGTTTTGCACCTGGACAGGTACAGCTGTGAGCTTTATTTCCTGAATATTCCTTCACATCCTACACCACAAGGAGAAACTTTCCCAAATTCATTTTTCTTTAGAGTTGGTAACAAGAAGATTGCCATAACTCACTGACCGGACTTGAGTAACAGCTGTGAAAATTCAGGCATTTCACCTATCAGTGCTATTTAATGGAGACATAACTAAATACTTTCACTAAAACAACAATACATTTTTACTGCTTCTCACACCTCCGCCAGGAAGCCCATGAAAAGGTGGCAGAAAAAGGTTTCTGTTAACTGTCCATAAGCTCCTGGAGTTTTCTTTCACTGCTCTGTAAGCTGACTGCTGTTGCTCACACCTAAGCTCCCCAGGGCCATTTTTTGTTAAGTGCAGCAGCAGCAGCATGCCCATGAAGGCTGCACAGCTGCAGCGCTGCCCCTGTCCCAGGGAAATTTATTCAATTCAGGTGACTTTACAGGGTTTAACCCCTTCTCCAGCAAAACCAGGTTTCACTGGTTTCACTTTCAGGGAGCTTTTTACATCCAGAATTGCCAAAGTGGGAAAATTAAGACTTCCTAATTTTCTCCAGAGCTATAAAAGCAATGCTGCACACAAGTTTCAATGCATTTAAATTAATCTCTATTTACTACATATGTTTCTAGAGAACTGACCTTTTCCGGTTTTTCGCCTGTGAGATTTGAAATATTTTAAATAATAGTATGGTAGTACACTTACATTATGTGGCAGGGTTCATTTCTGTCCTTCAAGCAGTGCCCTATTTCCCATTTCTTTTTTGTAGGAAATGTAGTTTTAATGTATTTTGATCCAGCATGAGTATTTTTCACTCCACACCAAGGTGCATCTAGTTCAATTTGGAAAAAAAAAAAAAAGTAACCATTTGAGAATAGCATGATATAGTTCAATCAACCACTTCCACAGACAAAAGTTATTGCAATCTCCTCTGGTGACTTCCAATCCCAAATTTGATATCTTCACAATCTTTGGATTTTTATACCATTACCTTCAGGATCTTGTATTTTTAAAAATGAGCAATGGTAGCATATAATACCAATTTCCTCTGACATGATAAAGATACCTAAATACACTGCCTGTGTTCCACAGAAACCTCCTGTGTACTTCCAACAGGGCTGTACTTCACATGCAAATAAATTTAAGAATTTAGGGAGTTTGTGGTTTTCCTGTCTTGGATTCAGAAATTAAAATAAATACTGTGTTTGTAACTTCCTGTAACTGATAATTGAAATGAACATGCAAAAAAAAAAAAAAAAAAAGGCCCCCTCGTCAGTCAATTAAAATCACAGCTCATTGGGCCAAGAGGGGAACTGAAGTGCTGCTCCACTTCACTCCATTTGAAGAGCTGCTGTTGCCCAGTGCTGTTACTGGTACCAGTGTCAAGCCCATCACCACTGCCCTGTGTTCAGCACACCTCCAGCAAGCTAGATTTTGAAAGACATTCAAGCAGGACTCTGGCAAGCAAGACATTTAAAAACCTGTGCTTGTCAATTTGTCCTTTCCATCTTCCCCTGAAACATCAGGAACCAACACAGCAACTTACTCCTGGCACAAGGCTGAGGAGGAGTATTTCTGGAGCCTGTGAATTGCTTTCCAAAGCAGGGAAACAGCCAGTGCTTTTCACTCAACTCCTAAGGTCTTGACTCTGCCTTATCACTGCTACACAAGGATATCATGATGCCAAGCAGTGTTTTAAGTCACAAACTGACCAAGACAGAAAACCTTACCGGTCTCTATCATTAATCGTTCACTAGGAATAGATCTCAGCGTTTCCAGGTTGGCTTCTGTTTTCAGTGAACTACAAACAAACCCAACAGAAGTGTATAAAAGTAATTACTTTGCCTCTTGAAATGTTTTCCAGCAAAAGCAACTTCCTAAATAATTTTGTCGGCAAGTAAAATTTGCTTCATTTTTTACAAGTGCTGCCTGTAAATTCAAACTTTGCAGCAAACGGCGAAGGCGGAGAGCCCCCCAGTGGAGCCACCGCACCCCAGTGAGCACACAGCACCCCCACAGAACCCCTGCTTCAACGCTGCAGGAGGATTGCTTCCACCCTCAAC